CAGCAACATCAACTGTCTGGTACATTCTGAGGAAAGAAGAATGCATTGGTGAGCTCCGCAACATAAAAAGCTATGGACGTGCATGGAAGACAACAGTGGTGGATGATCGCAGGATCCTCTCTATGGTTAAGAAAAACCCATTCACAACATCCAGACAAGTAAAGGACACTCTCCAGGAGGTGGGCGTATCATTGTCTAAGTTTACAATCAAGAGAAAACTTCATGAGAGCAAATACAGAGGGTTCACCACAAGGTGCAAACCATTCATAAACCTGAAGAATAGAAAAGCCAGATTAGACTTTGCCAAAAAACATCTAAAAAAGCCAGACCAGTTCTGGAAAAGCAAACTAAGATTAATTTGTAGTAGAATGATTGGAAGAAAAAAGTGTGGAGAAGGCTTGGAACAGCTCATGATCCAAAGCACACAATATCATCTGTAAAACATGGTGGAGGCAGTGTGATGGCATGGGCATGCATGGCTTCCAGTGGCACTGGGTCAATTGGTGATTATTGATGATGTGACAGAAGATAGAAGTAGCTGGATGAATTCTGCAGTGTTTAGAGATACTGTCAGCCCAGATTCAGCCAAATGCTGCAAAATTGATTGGACGGCGCTTCACAGTACAGATGGACAATGATCCAAAACGCACACTGCAAAAGCAATCCAGGAGCATTTAAAGGAAAAGAAGTGGAATATTCTGCAATGGCCGAGTCAATCACCTGATCTCAACTCAATTGAGCATGCATTTCACTTGCTGAAGGTGAAACTAAAGGCGAAAAGACTAAACGAAAGACCCACAAACAAAGAACAACTGAAGACAGCTGCAGTTAGAGCCTGGCAAAGCATCAGAAAGGAGGAAGCCCAGTCTTTGGTAATGTACATGGGTTCCAGACTTCAGGCAGTCATTGCCAGTAAACAATTCTCAACAAAATATTAAAAATGAACATTTTTTAATTTGTCCAATTACATTTGAGCCCCTGAAAATGGAGGGACTGTGTATTAAAATGGTTGCAGTGCCTAAAATTTGTACTTAATATTTATGTTCATTTATTCTGGTGGCATACAGGGCCAAAAGTATGAAAATTGTGCCTGTGTCCAAATATATATGGACCTAACTGTATATCTTTCTATGAAATAAAGGGATACTTTTTCATTTTAACTGGAAGTCCACTTCAAGGCTACCTCTGCTGCAAAACTACGTACCTGAATGTTGGGGATACCATACAGGGAATGGCATGCATCACGGCTTCCAACAATCGCAATGGGTAGCAACCAGAAGTCCTACAAGTTCTCTCCAGTTGAGAGAGAGAATGGTTGAGTACCTCATGTATGTGATAGGCTAAGTACCCTGGCAGAATCAGTATGTTTGTTTTTTGGCGATACAGAAAATTTTTTCTATAACAGGTGATCAATTTGCAGTAGGTTACACATTTTTATTAAAAGTAGCTTTTCTTACATAGTCTGGCTAAAAAAAGACAAAAGTCTATTCAGTTCAACCATAAAAAAAAAGTTATATTCCTACACCCAGAGTTGATCCAGAGGAAGGCACAAAAACCCAGCAAAGCATGATCCAATTTGCTCCTGCAGGGGAAAAAAATCCTTCCTGATCCCCTGAGAGGCAATCGGATATTCTCTGGATCAACTTTACCTATAAATGTTAGTATCCAGTTATATTCTGTGTATCCAACAAAGAATCCAGGCCTTTTTTAAAGAAATGCACTGAGCTGGCCAGAACCAACTCTTGAGGTTTTTTGTCACAATGTATTCGGTATTTTAAACAAACTCCATGAATTTTGTGGATTTTGGTTTGTAAAATAAATTGTGCTGTATCAAGTTTAACATTTTTTGTAGGGATGCGCTTAAAGCGAAGTTCCAGTCAGTTTTGTGTTTATTAAAAGTCAGCAGCTACAAAAACTGTAGTTGCTGATTTTTAATAAACACACACTTACCTGTCCCAGGGTCCAGTGATGTGCTCACCCGCGCCATCCCTTCTTGGCCTCTTCTCTCCTCGGCGCCGGCATCACAACTGTGGGCACCAGGCTGTGACAGCTTGTCGCTTCACAGGCGGGTGCCCACTGTGCATGCGCAAGTCGCGCTGCACATTCGGATTGTCCAGAAGTCTTCTGGGACCTTTGAAGGTTCCCAGGAGACTGTGGGAGGAAGGAGGGGGCCAAACTTCAGGCTCACTTTGCCACGGCGAACTGAGCATGAAGTGGGAGCGGGTACCTGTCAAAACCAGGTACCCGCTCCCCCCACCCCCCAAAAAGGTGCCAAATATGGCAGTGAAGGGGGGGAGGAGGTGAACAAGTGGAGCTTCCACTTTTGAGTGGAACTCCACTTTAACATATATTGCTTTTTTAAGGACATACAGGGCTTTCTTTTTGTGAATATTGTCTTGCAACAATTATATTATTTTTCACAATCCTTTGACAATTAAATGTAACAAAACAAAAAATGGACTTTCTATTTTAAGCAGTGGTAGTTTAAAAATTAATAGTGTTACTGCACATAAAAAGTGTGCATTTAATTCTGTAATTTATACTGTTTAAAACGACAGTAAAATTATGGTTCTGATACAAAGCATTGAAAATTTTTTGACAAAACAAAATAAATGTATTGTTTTACATATTGAGCTGTTTTCAATGTGAAACATATAAACATACTGTATGTTAAAGGTGTAAAAATATTAACAAACAAAGCAAACAAAAACAAAGTTTTAATTACTAATAGTTTATATATAATAGAAATGAACAAAAAAACTAAATCAGCAGGAAAATAATAAATGGAGAAGGAGAATAAGGAGTTAGGGGTTAATAAGGGGTTAAACAGAGGAACATTTAATTAAAAAAAAAACAAAAAAAAAACTTTTTTTTACTTGACAGGTTGCTTTTAACTGACTTAATCTACAGATCAACTTCATCCCTTTGATCTGTAGATGAATAAACAGAAAGATACAAAATTATACAATGTTTATTTTTAGTTTCATAAAGGTTTTATTGAAACAGCAACATTGTACATGAACAGTGGAACAATGTTTCTTTTTATCTTTCTGTTTTAGCAACTGAGCAATATTGTTGTTAAACATTCTCAGGCTTTTTTTTTTTTTTTTGCGTTGACAGCTCCAATTTCTGCAGATTCCCAGCTCAACAACCAGTCCAGTCATTGCCAGCTTTTTTTTTTTTCCTTTTTCCAGCTTTTTTGTTTACATTTCAGCTGTCAGCAAGGGAATCCCACTGACAGCTGAAAGAACCAAGCCTGAATGCATCAGTTTCAGGTATAGGAGCATTTGCATGAGTACTGATACTCCTGCAAATGTTTAGTTGTGGCACAGACCGGTATTGGTATCAGTTCAGCCTTAATTTTTGTATGGAAAAAAAATTAATAAATAAAATACCATTAATGCAAATATGTATTTTTTTAACTAGATGTTATTTTTTGTATGGGGTCCAAAATAGAAAAAAAAGACTAGAAAAAGACTTCCCTCCTAACTGTTGGAAAATACGCCGGATATGGTTTGCAAATTTAGGTGTCTTTATTTTATTTTTTTTTAATTTGTCATTGTTGAGAAAGTGCTGTGTCTGGCACACACTATGTCAGAATAGATTTTTGCAAGTACAGAAAAAAGTATGCAGCATATTTCAGCAGTGTGGAAATAAAGGTGTGGCAACTAGTCTAACAAAGGGTGAAACACAGATTTATAATTACTCACTAGTGGCAACTTGCTAAGGACCTGTTTGCTGTTCTCAATTTGTGAAGATGTCAGCTGCTGTCTGTCTACACACCAAGGCTTTTTTTGTTGGCTTTATACTCTATGCTGCTGGTGGTACAGCAACTCCTGGGCTACAAAAGCATCCATTTCAGTAAAGCCTGTCATTTATGACACCTCAGAATCCACCTTTCCAGCAAACAGTCTACACCTCCCTTCTAAGATGGCTACTAGTATGGGTCCTTGTAATAAAAGCCTTTTTTTCACCAACAGACTTGCATTGCATTGATGTGCATTTACATGCATTGTGGTGAAATGCATGCATGCTGCACTTAAACACAACACAATATGAAAGCATTGTTGTGGGTGTGAACAAGACACATAGAAAACAATTGTTTTCTACATGTCCATGCGTTAACCTATGTTCTACCAGTGTGGTAAAACGCAGGTCAACACAGTATGTGTAAAATGGTCCTTACAGTTATTAGTGTGCTTATGTAAGCTCTCAGTTGAACTGTGAAGCCATTAAATGGCAAATGTCATAACTGATCACATATGCAAGATAAGAAAGCAGCATTTTGCCTTGAAGGCACTTTAGTAACCGAATAAGACATATACTTGCCTTCCATTGAGGCCGGTGTACCAATTTTTCTCATTGAAATGTTGGCTGGTGTGTAAAAAGTGAATTAATGCCACTGTTAACACATTATACTTACAGTCATTGTAATGTAGCTCTAATCCCAAAGGAGCCACTGGATTTTGGGCCTATTTCCCCCTCACAGCACCCACAAGCTTCCATATGGCTCAATAAACAGTCTAGGGGTTTCGATTTTTGGTGTATTTTTAACCAACTATGAACTTGGATAAGGAATGGGAGCGAATGGGATAGCCCAAACTAAAGAAATATTGTAGAACTAGTTACAAACACTTGAGGACCTGCTAAGTTTCTGGCTGCTCTAATCCAAACTGCAAACTGTTCAACACAATAGAGGGAGTAATAGTACTGAGAAACAAGGAATAAAAGTTCCAAACAATTCTGTTAAAAACAGCATCTTGCTGTATTGCAGGGCATCTGAGCTACCCATAGCGCCAGGCACTTGACGAGAGGTTTTGCACTTCACTGTCCTCTCCTTCCCTTAGGGTGTGATGGCTGGTCTGTACTCACTCAGTCCCTTTTAACCGCCTCCCGCCTGCCATATAAGGAAATGACGGGCTCAAGGCGGTTCTCTCGTTCTGGGAGGACATCATATGACATCCTCCCAGTCTAAACGCGCATGCGCGGCTCCGGGGGCACGCAGCATGGCGATCAGTGGTGAGCTGTGTCCCTCGGACACAGCGGATCACCAATCACCGGAAAGAGCCGAAGATGTTGGATCGGTCATGTGATCAGCTGTGTCCAATCACAGCTGATTGCATGTAAATAGGGAATTGCCAGTTATCTGCATTTCTCTCCTCATGAGCTGTCACGCTGACAGCTCGTGAGGAGTGGAGAGGCGGTAATCGGCATCCCTCAGAGGGGACATGCACACTGATCATCAGGACACTGATGATCAGTTTGCCCTGATGATCAGTGTAGCCCCAGGAGTGCCACCTGGTAGTGTCTATCAATGCCACCTGCCAGTGCCCATCAGTACCACATCAATGCCACACATCAGTGCCTACCAGTGCACATCAGTGCCACATATCAGTGCCCATCTGAGCTGCCTTTCAGTGTCACCTATCAATGCCAGTCAGTACCACCTATCAGTGCTGCCAATCAGTGCCAGTCAGTGCTGCTTATCAGTGCCAGTCAGTGCCACCTATCAGTGCACATCAGTGCCGCCTATCAGTGCCGCCTAACAGTGCCAGTCAGTGCGGTCTATCAGTGCCACCTATCAGTGCCATATATGAGTGCTGCCTTTCAATGCCCATCAGAGATGCCTGTCAATGCCCATCAATGCCACCTACCAGTGCCTCCTCACCAGTGCCCATCAGTGCCACCTATCAGTGCCCATCAGTGCAGCGTATCAGTGCCCATCACTGCAGCCTCAATAGCGCACATCAGTGAAGGAGAAAAATCACTTATTTACAAAATTTTAGAACAAAAACTAAGAAAAAACTTTTTTTCCCCAAATTTTTAGTTGTTTTTGGTTTGTTTAGCAAAAAATAAAAATCCCAGAGGTGATTAAATACCACCAAAAGAAAACTCTATCTGTCTCAAAAAAATGATAAAACTTTCATATGGTTACAGTGTTGCATGACCGCGCAATTGTCATTCAAAGTGTGACAGCGCTGAAAGCTGAAAATTGGCTTGTGCAGGAAGGGGTATAAGTGCCCTGTAGGCAAGCGGTTAAGAAGCTCCCAGGATCCAGAATGACTAGCTTCTGGTATGGCTAGGAGTCTGCACCTAAGCCTATCTTAGACCTAAACAGGGTGAGTTACAGCAGCTCTCTTTTCTTCCTCGCTCTCTCTTTCTGGCCCAAAGGGCCAAGCTCCTAGCACAGGGGTTGCCTGCAGACTGCAGATGGCTGGACCCTAGAAGCTCCATAAATATTCAGACAGCAACCTCTGTCCCTCCAAACACTATGTTCTGGAAATTTCCAGTGAGTTCCAGAAGGTGGGGGGTAACAGAGCCATAGACTGTGAAGCACTGCACAACCTCCTAAACACAATTAACCTCTGCTCCTCTGCCTACAAAGGAGCTAACTAAAACTAGAAAACTAAGAGGGTGCTACAGTCATTTATAAGTAGTTTCTACATCACAGCATATACTGTAATGAAGGCCTTCCATAAAAAATGGATAGCAGCCAGTACTGTTAAATCTAAAATCATGAAATAACGTGGCCTAGAGGTGGGTTCCTACCTTCATATGTCTTGCCCCAGGCTACAAAATTACTGGCAAGGAGTGGTGGACACCGTCAATGCACTTGATGTATTGTCTTTACCTAGGGACCCATTAGTTTTATTATTCCCAAGCACGCTAAGTTGTTTCTTTTCTACGCCCTATACTATGCTATGGGGAAATGCTCCTCAAGTGAAAAACTCACTCCCACCTACACTCTCAAATTGGAAGGCTGCCACAAATGCATCCTTGCCCCTGTATAAGCAAACTTATGCTAGCAGAAACTGTCCCCGTAAGTTTGATAAGATCTGAAGAAAGTGGATTGATACCCATGGTTTAACAGTATGATTGTTTCTTTCTTTGATTTTAATGACACCATGTTTTGATTGGTCACATTCTTATCTTGATTACTGATGTGCCCCCTAAGTGTCCTTACCTACTTCCCCTCTCCCAAGATTATTCGACCTTCCATTCCTTTTTCCTCCCTCCCCCCCCCCTACCCTTTTCCTTTTTCCCTTCCTCACTGTGACGAACGCGATGCCTGACCCCTGCCCTTCTCACCAACTTGTGACAAAGGACCAGCCAATCTCACACCAAGCTGTCACTTGCACAACAATGCCACTCTCAGTTGCACCCTGCACAAAGGTTTTCCAGTTCCTGGGACCACAATCTAGGTGCCAGCAGCCTGAGAGTGATTGTCACTGGGTTAGGTTAATTACACAATTAACCCTTCAAACTCCAAACTGCCACCAGATAGCTTTGGGCCTATCAACCCTTCACAATGTTAGCAAGAAGAAATGTGAACAGTAAATGTCTGTAACACACACTGTCACCACAGACAAGTATATTCAGAGGATTATTATATACAGTAGCTCTCTTCAAGAGACAAGGATTCTTTAGTTTTCATTAAAAGCCTTAGTGATAATTTTAACACTTTTCAAAATGAGATTTAATAATGAAAAGGTCAATTGGTGCAATTAAAATATTTATGAAAGGGATGTTACAAAGAAATAAAGAGAACAATAAAGCAAGAGAGAAAAAAAGAAAGTAGTTAAAAAGGCGGAATATTTGCAAAATCCGTGGTTTTAGCAGAGTCTGGCTCTTAAATCCGTTAAGATGTTCCTTGGTTGATGTTAAATGAGAGCTTGCTTACTAGATCCTGTCCATCCCTTTTCTGTAATATCAAGGGGGTGTGGACAGAGACCAAATGACCAATAATCTGGTTTACGGGATGGGTGCTGGGAGGTCGCTAAGTTTATGATCAAGTCCCAACTACAGTTTCATAATATTAATAACTTCCAATATGTGCAGGTGGTATTCTAGCAACTGGCAGATTAATATTCAGAATTTTATTTAGAACCCAGAGATATGAAACACAGTGTACCTTGTCACCCAGGAGGCAGGAGACTGCTTTCTCCCCTTTCATATGTGCTAACATAGTCATGTATGTCCTTGATTTGTTTGCTATGATATTCCTCATTCAAATATATACCTAATATTAATATGTCCTGTTCCTGTTGAATTCTACGAATTATATGTGGAATTAATACGTTGTGGAATAGATGTTTTATGGCACGTTTTGCATTCTTAGAACCTTAATGGCCTTACACATCATGCGTGACAGCTTGACTGAGATATTATTGTTTACAATAGGGTAGAGGAAAGTGTTTTTCATGGTTCATAGAAACAGACATTCTGCCAAGACTAATTAGCTGTTTACTGCTCTGGGCAGGTCTGGACGCTGCATCTATTTGTGTTTAAGTTAAGAGGCTCTTTTGAAGTTCATTAAAACTTACAGCTACAAATTCTAGTTTTCAGGAGGAGGGAAGGGAGGAAGATCATTGCTCATGAGAAACAAAATGGCTGCCGCATACAGGTTCCATGTCTCTATTGCGCATAATCGTTACACCCACCTCCATTCCTTTCTAGTTTAGGGCAATTTGAGGGTATCCTGTCAATTTTTTTTATCTGTGTATTGTTTATAAATGTGACTGCTGTGTACTGATTCTACATGGATTGTCCATCATTTATATATTACTGTGTTTTCCTTTTTTTAAACACTACCGCTGCTTTATACCGAAATGTACCTTTGTTTATTACAATGTTAAACGTTTTAATAAAAACGGTATTGTTAAAAAAAAAATGTTATGAAATAAAAAAGGAACACATACAAGGTGTGACCTTTTAATTCTCAGAATGGACTGGTAATAACCTAATAAAACCGGTACTAACCTAATAAAACACCTCTATATTCTTCAAAAGATTGGTTGAAATTTGAAGACAATGTTCTTTCTGATCTTCTGTCAAGATTCAAGGCACCATCTTTGTGGAAATTATTTATTCCCAAATCCTCCGTTAGAATCTGCAACACTGTTCCCCTGTTCAATTCTTCTGCCATCAATCTTCGATCGGAGCGTACGAGAGCTTGCGCTCTGTCCACATTTGTATCCGTTCTTTACGTTTTTAGATGCCTGCTTCTTGCGTCATCATAAATATCTTCCCCACCCTCTTTAAAATGCCTTTGCCATTCAAAAACACTTGATTTCTTCATGGAATGTTCACCATAAGCCTGTTGTAACAGAACTAAAATTTCACTTGTGCTTTTGCCAGTTTTCACACAAAATGTGATGTTAAGCTGCTGCTCTGGTTCCAATCACTCATTTTCCACCAACAGCGAAACGCGCACATTATTTCTTCTACTACTCTGTATAGACTGAGTCAACTGGTCTGCGACCAAGACGAGTGCAAGTTACAGCATGTCAGAACACGCTTGAGTATGAATGGCTGTTTGACTCACCACCATAGTGCTAAGCTGTGGGCATTCTGAGAATTAAATTGTTACACCTCATCCCTTTGCTTGGCTTTCAAGAGGTGCGTGTGACGTCACCTTGCCTTGCCACTGTCTCCTTGGAAGGTTAAGGAGATGTGATTCTCACAGGAACCGCAGCGTATTCCTGTGCAAATCACATGCAAATTGTTTTATTATTATTGCATTATTTATGGCTCAAATTGCACCGCATCCGCACCAATAGGGTGCAGAACCCTTTTTTGGGCCCGAACTAGAATCGCATGGGTATTCATACCTACGAAATCCAATTCTGCACATTGCACTGCATTTTGCACTCCGATTTTGGGGTGTTGTTAACTTAACATACACACCCGCAGCGGTTCGCATGAATGGGGTGCGATTCTGATGCGGAACGGAATTCCCACAGAAAATACTGCAAATTCCACACCGCATCAGTGTGAACCCAGGCTTAGTGCTAAAAATCCCACGAGAATACATGCCTGCAATAGGCTGGAGTCTATCTTTGCAAGATTTTGAGCAGCTTTCCAGTAAGGCGCTAGGATGTGCCTTCAAAAGCGTTAGAAGCTCGGACAAAAGTTTTTATTTAGTGACTTTAGTTTTAAAAGGTTTGATAAAAAAAAGGCAACACAGTGGCTAAATGCAGAGGCATCCCTAGGGTTGGTGTCACCCGGTGCGGTAACACTTGGTGACATCCCCTCCGACGATCCCCGCAGAATGGATCAGATCTGCGGATTGAGCATAATGGACCGGACTCCAATCCATTATGCTCAATCTGCAGATCCTGCGGGGATCGTTGGCTTTCTTTACAACTTACCTTTTCTTGGAGCGGGTCTGGTGTCACCCCGTATAGGTTGCATGCCGATGATCCCTGCAGGATGACACCCCGCAGGATGACACCGGACCCACTCCAAGAAAAGGTAAGTTGTAAAGAAAGCCGACGATCCCAGCAGGATGGATCGGATCCTTTTCGTGGAGTAGGTCCGATGTCACCCCACGCGGTCAGTGTCACTCGGTGCGGGCCGCACTCCCTGCACCTGCCTCCTGACGCCACTGGCTAAATAGTTAGCACCTCTGCCTGGCAGTACTAAGGTCGTTGGTTCAAATCCCAACCACGGTACCACCTGCCTGGAGTTTGCATGTTCTCCCTGTGCCTGCGTGGGTTTCCTCACACACTCCAAAGATATGCTGGTAGGTTAATTGGCTCCTGTCTAAAATTGGCCCCAATATGTGTACGTATGAATGTAACTTAGGGAATTTAGACTGTACACCCCTTGAGGGTTAGGGACTGATGTGAATGTACAATATATATGTAAAGAGCTGCATAAATTGATGGCACTATATAAGTACCTCAACTTAATAAATAATAAAGCCTTTCATCAATAGTGACTGCCCTCAAAAACCTGTAAAACCACAATATGTGTGTGAATTAATGTAAGGCTTCCAGCTGAGGTCAGTGTTATAATAACAAACATGTACTTTGTAAAGTACTGTGTTCTCTATAAAGTTTGTACACCACTCTGCTGCGTCACTCTACGACCTTCACCTCAGCCACAGCGAAGACATTTTCTAGAAGCCCATAGAGCCGCTACATAGATGCGCCACTACGCTCAGGGGGCGTGGCGCCGGTGACGCTCCAGAAGTGATAAAAGCCTGTGTCGCTTTCTATGACGCAATCACTTTGACTTAGTCTTTCTGAAGGACGTTTGTTGTATCGGGTTAGTACAACGATGCCTAGAGGAAGCCGAAGCCGTACCTCCAGGATGGCCCCGCCAGCCAGGTATGTGTTTTAGTAAGCCGACTTTCCCTCTGGGCTGGGCACTTAGTTAAATGGTTAGCGGGGAGAGTAAGCCGGTATGTGTGGAGTCACGTGTGACAGAAAACATGGCTCCTTCACCAGGACTTCTATGACTGCTGTGTTTCATTGTATTCCTGGGCATAGAGGAAGAGAGGGCAGAGCCAGCCTCTATGGGCAGTAATAAGACTTCTCATCGTCTATAGATTGTCAGTTGCTGGAATTGTCCTTTGAGTTGCAGGATTTCTAAAACCTCATCTATTCTTCATTAACCACTTGCCCTCCAGAGGATTTGCCCTCCCAAACCCCCCCTCCTGACCAGACCATTTTTTGTGATGCAGCACTGCGGTACATTAACTGACAATGTGCGGTCATGAAACTCTGTACATAAAAGACATTTATTTACATTTTTCCCCACCTATAGAGCTTTCTTTCAGTAGTATTTGATCATCTCTGTGTTTTTTTTATATTTTTTGTGCTATATACCAAAAAAGGCCGTTAATTTTGAAAAAAACAAACAATATTTTTGATTTTTTGCTATAAAACGTCCAATAAAATTTTCATAGAAATAAAATGTATTCATAAATTTAGGCCAAAATGTATTCTACGTATCTTTGCTAAAACAAAATTCCAATACGTGTAAATTAGTTGGTTTACGTGACCATTATAACGTCTACAAATGGCGACATATATACTGGATTTTTAAATTTATTTTATGTTAGTAATGGCGGCAATCAGCGTCTTATAACGGGACTGTGGCGGGCATTCTGACACTGGTTGGGAACTAATGGCCACTGACATCTCCAGTGACACTAATATAGCGATCAGTGCTAACAAAATGCACTGACACTGTACTCATGACATTGGGCAGGAAGGGGTTAACGTCTGGGGCAATCAAAGGGTTAACTGTTGTGCTTTCACTGTGTACTTTTTACTAGGGAGACATGCTGCTTTCTCTCTGCTGTGCAGTGAGAGAGAAAGCAGCATGTCCATGCTGACAGGAGAGAGATCTGTGTTGTTTTACACACAGATCTGTCCCTTCTCCGCTCACCTAGTGGCGGCCGGTACCTGGTGATTGACATCCACTGCAACCAATGGCAGCTTGGGTGTGCGCCTCCTACCCAGAACTGCAAAATCACTCATATATACATGATTTTGCACAAAGCAGCTGCCCTGTAGCAGTATATCTGCTATAGGGTGGTAGGCAAGTGGTTAGAGCGGAAATAAATCTTTAGTAATAACAGTTGTGGATAGGCAGCTTTTGTATTGCAGAAGAGACATATGTTTCTTCTGCAATAAAACAAACGTACCTTCCCGTTCACAGTGTTCTTTTGAACGCACATTGAGTTGTGTATGCACAGCTTCATATATATTCTCTGCACAGTGCTGGGACGATGACCCCTGTGCGCATGTACAGCAATCACGTCATCCTTGAGCAGAGGTGAGTATTCCGCTGACTTTAGTCCCACCTTAAAGTGGAGCAAGAAACAGGGAGCAGGCAGGCTTTATTGCAGAAGAGACATGCACTGTCTTTTCCGCAATAAAATGTCCATATCTACCTGTGCTCTGTCTTCTCTGGGACTGTAAACTGAGCTGCGCATGCACAGGTCAGCTTACAGCGCTGGACCAGTCTTGAGTGCCAGGATGACCAGCTCCTGTGCATGTGCAGGAGTGATGTCATCCCCTACTGACCAATGACTGGTTGAAGGACCGGCATTCAGTAGAGGGTGTCAAATTGGCGGCCCTCCAGCTGTTGCCAGAGTACAAGTCCCATGAGGCATTTCAAGACTGACCGTTACAAGCATGACTCCCAAAGGCAGAGGCATGATGGGACTTTTAGTTTCGCAACAGCTGGAGGGCCACCAGTTTGACACCCCTGCCATAGAGGGTCCTTTGGACAGGTAAGTATTCACCCTAAAGCCAGGACATTTTTATCTTAATGCATTTCCTGCGTTAAAGTATACGTAAAGGAAAAACTTTTTTTTGTTTTGGATGGAGGAAGAGGGATTAGAACCCCTGTCGGTTTTTATTGCTGTGTGCTTCCATTAGGGAGATTCATTCTATTTGTCCTGTTTTCCATTATCATTGAAAGTAAAAGAAAATCCCAAATTTTGGGTTCTCCCCAGAAAAGCAAAAGAGGGGAAATTGTCCAATGGGGACAATAATTTTGGCGAACTGGGAGTCCCCAAGCAATTTTGTTAGTTTGCAGGGATTTCCTATTACTTCCTGTTTGGCTATGGGACAGGAAGTGAAGGAAAATCTCCACAATGGGACACAGATGACAAACAAAAAATCTGACAAGGGTTATAACCCTCCCTTACGTTATCCAAAATGAAAAAAAAAGTTTTGCCCATAGTTCTACTTTAAGGTAAAAAGTGTCCCAGTAGCAGTATCGCTTCCTCACCCCCTATATACTTACCTAAGTCCTCATTTAATCCAGCACTTTGCCCATCTGAAGTGACTCTTCTCTCTCACTTTTCACAAGAAAGGCAGGAGCTATTGACAATCAAAACCTGTGAGCAGTGTGCGGGTCGTGTGTATATGCACGCGTACAACCTGGCTCAGGAGCATGCCTGCATGTGTGCCCCCATAGCAAGCAGCTTCCTATTGTGGCGAACAGTGGGGGGGGCCACTGTGTGCAATAGTACTGAAAAGAGCAGTTAAGCATAACATTTTATTAAAAAAAAAATCTTAGCCTTTACAATCACTTTAAGTTTGGATAGATGCGCAAAGGGATAGAACCCCATTCAGTTTTTTCTTTTTTTACCCTTATTGTCCCCACTGAAGAAATTTCCCTCTACTTCCTGTTTTTGAGACCCTTCAGGAAGTGGGAAGACATTTCTATAAGGTTAGGGAAAATCCCAACTTAGGTGTTACCAGAGGAAATTTCCCCAAAGATATCCCTCTTCTGAAATAATACTTTAGATTTCCCATCACTTTCACTGGTCTTTCTCCAGTCAAAGGCCTCCTTCACATGGCGGTACTGATCCACACACCCGTGCGAAGAGCCGTACATCTGTGCTGGTCCAATTTTGTCATTGATTTGAACGGTCTGCCTGAAGAGAGCACTTTTGCATGCCATGCAGGTGAAGACAGCCCTTCGCACAGGTGTAAAAATGAGTATACCCATGTAAATGGGGCCATAGACAAACAGAATTTCCTCAGCAGATAATAGGAGTACAAAGCTGACAGATCTTTTAGGTATTTACTATGCTACACACATTGTTGTTATGTACCAGTTAGAGGTTGTTTTAGATGTAATTTTTCTGTTGGACTGTATGATAACCACATCAGTGCACGTGTGGCCAAATCTAATGGTGCATTTATAGCCAAAGTGTTTACAGTTTTGGCAAGAGTGGAGAAAGGTTGGAAGCCCTGTCAGATTTTAGAACTATCTACAGTTTTGTTAGAGAAATTCCCCCTTCTTTTCTGTTCTGGTGTCACCCTTTTACCAGACAGGAAGTGAAGAAAAATCAACAACAGAGAAACAGACAACAATAAAACGGGGGCAGATGTTTCAACCTACCCAACTGAAAATTGCTTCCGTCTGTGTTGTTGTTGGGAGAGTGTCCTTCACATCCTGTCTGGTGAAACAGTGAGCAAAGGGAAATCTCTCCAATGGAGTCCTGAACAGCAGTAAAACTTAACCAGGGGTTCTAATCCTCCCCACACTATTCAAAAAAGAAACCGTTTTGGCTGTAGAAACTTTAAACATTGAGGAAACCTAAAGCATTATGTCAGGAGGATGGTCTTTTCATACTTTCATACCTACCCCACCTCCACCTAAGAACTGTACTTGAATCACCTCCGCCAGATCATCCCCCACAGTTTATCACCTTTTGTATCACCTCCCCTTCCTTTAGATTGTAAGCTCCATGAGCAGGGCCCTCCTATTCCTTCTATACTGAAATGTATTGTAATTGTACTGTCTCCCTTATATTGTAAAGTGCTGCAAAAACTGTTGGCGCAATATAAATCCTGTATAATAATAATACTTAGCCAGAATTGTTGTCTATCAAACATTAGAAGCTAGAGGTGCATGGCAAAAAATTTAATTTCTTGTCTGATTGCTGTTGTTCCTCAAAGATAAGATGTGGAAGAGGTGTCCCACCCTCCCTTCATTAGGCCTGTTTCACATGGGCTTCAGCTTCTATAAGGGCAGTGTGAACAGCAAGCTTTTATGAAACTTTCAGCAGGCTTTTGAAAATCTTTTAGTAAGCTTCAAGCAGCTTTCCCTTAACCTTTAACCACTTAAGGACCGCCCTATAACAGATATACTGCTACAGGGCGGCACCTGTGCACAAAATCACATCTATATACATGATTTTGCATTTCCAGGTAGGGTGCACACGTAAGCCCTACCCGCATCGCCATTCACAGCCGTGGTTGTTGATCACCTGGTCCAGGCCAGTAATTGCCCACCGGTGCCCTGTGATTACCGAGCATCTCCAACAAGGAAGTAGATTGTTTTGTTTACAAACAATCTTCCTCCCTGTCAGCTCGAGCACACTGCTCGGGATGGCTGTGCACAGTACAGCCATATCTATCAGTGTGCTTACAGTGAAGAACACACCCCCTGCCCCCTTGTAAAACACTCCCAGCACAGTTGACCCTTTGATTGCCCCTCACATTAAACCCTTCCTGCCCAGTGTCATTAGTACAGTGTCAGTGCTTTTTTTTTTTTTTTTAGCACTGATCACTGTATTGGTTTCACTGATGTGTCAGTGATACCAAGTTAGTTCCCCCTCAGTGTCAGAATGTCCACCGCAATCCCGCTAAAAGTTGCTGATCGCCGCCATGACTAGTAGAAGAAAAAAAATCCCATTATTTATACCACCATTTGTAAATGCTATAACTTTCACGAAAAAAACAATTAATTTACATGTATTGAGATGTTTTTTAGCAAAGACATGTCGCAGAATACATGTTGGCCTAAATTTATGACGAAATTAGATTTTTTTTTTTTTATTTTTACTGGACATGTT